TCTCAGCTCCACCTTCGGACGAGTCCGTAGAGCCGAGTGGTCCGTACCCAGAGCTAGTGGGCTGCCTCATGTACCTGATGACCTGCCTCTTGGCCTTCTGGCACGCTACGTGGCTCCTGGTAGGCACCGAAAGGTGCACTTCGATGCTGCGAAGAGGGTACTACGCTACTTGTGCAGTACATCGGGCATGGGGCTCGTGCTTGGAGGGCGGAGCTCAGTTGTCCTCACTGGGCACTCAGACGCTTCTTGGGTTGACGACCTGGCTACGCAGCGGTCGTCACAGGGTTACACGTTCAACCTTGGCTCTGGCTCTGTTTCTTGGCGGTCTACTCGCTAGTCTTCTGTTCTCAGTTCCAGTTGTGAGGCTGAGATCTACGCCACAGCCATGGCTGCACAGGAGTTACGCTGGCTCACCTACCTGCTGACCGACTTGGGAGAGAGGCCTCGTTCTCCTCCAGTTCTGTACGTCGACAACAAGGCTGCCATTGCCTTGTGTCAGGACCACAGACTGGAGCACAGAACGAAGCACATCGCTCTGCGTTACTTCCTTGCTCGAGAGTTGCAGCAGCGTGGTCAGCTTCGTGTCGCTCACGTGCCCACCCGGGCAAATACGGCTGATGTGTTCACCAAGGCCCTTCCGGCTGGTGATCATCAGCGCTTCTGCACTGCTCTAGGCCTGGTGCCTACGTTTCCTCACTTGCTGTAGACTTTGCTTGTACTGTGATCTATATTGTATACCTGCATGCCTACTCCTGCTAGGTAGTGATCACTGTACTGTTGTTGTTGCATATATACCTCTGCATGTGAACTGGCCCAATGGCCCTTTGCTTGTGCTCGGAGTGTGTGGTGACGTTGTGATCCACCCTGAGCTTGCTTTGCTCTTCTTGACTGGTCTTGTGACCCCTTGTTCTCCCCCACTTTGCCTATGGGGGTGTGTCAAACTATATATGTGCTAGTTCTGTGTAGGCTATAGTGGGGTAGCCTGTATGGGGTACAACCCAATGTTAGGGTTAGTACTTGTACCCACAATCCTTTCAATGCGGTCATTCCTGCTTATTATCTTGACAGCTACTGCAGGAGGCGAAATTTTCAACTTCGCCCACCTTTCGTCTTCACTGCGACAATCAGAGTGCCATCAAGATTGCGAACAATGTCAGAATATGTTGTTTGTGTAGCCTGCAGTGGGGTACTCAATAGTGAGTACAGCCCCTTAGGGTTTGCTACTTGTATCCTGCTGCTTGCTAGTTCAATCATTCCTTCTCAACTCTCTTCGTGCACACATTCCTAGCTAGTACTTGGCGCCTCCTTTCGTCGTCCTACTGTGGCCTAGGCTACTAAGCCTAGGCCATACTCCTAGTATATTTTACATGGTATCAGAGGGCGGCATGTCCGCCGCCTTCCTGTATATGGGCCCACCACCCGCTTCCGCTGCCGTACTGTCCGCCGCGCGCCCCGTGGTGCGCGGCGGCGAAACCCTAATTTCTGCCCGCCGCGCGCTCGGGGCGCCTGGCGGTTTTCCCTTCCGTGGCGCCCATCGTGGTGCCCTTGGGGGGGCCTCCGCGGTCCCCTCCAGTCGAAGCGCCCGTCGAGGCGCTCTCGGGGACCCGCGCGGCCTCCCCTCCCGTCGCCCGTCGAGGCGACCTCGGGGACCCGCGCGGCCTCCCCTCCCGTCGCCCGTCGAGGCGACCTTGGGGGCCCGCGCGGCCTCCCCACCAGTCGCCCGTCGTGGCGACCACGGGGGCCGCGCGCGGTCCCCTCCCGTCGCCCGTCGAGGCGACTTCGAGGGCCGTGCGAGGCCCTCCCCTTCGCCCCTCGAGGCGACTTCGGGGGGCCCGAGCGGCGCCCTCCCCGTCGCCCGTCGAGGCGACTTCGGGGGGCCCGCGCGGCGCCCTCCCCGTCGCCCGTCGAGGCGGCTCTGGGGGCCCGTCGCGGCGCCCTCCCTGGTGCCCGTCGCGGCGCCCCGGGGAGGGCCGCGTGGCTCCCTTCTCGTCACCCCTCGGGGCGCCCTGGGGGCCGTGCGTTTCCCCCCCCCCCCCCCCCCCCTCCTCCTGCCTTTCAACTGCGGCGGCCGCCCCTGGAGCCGCCCGCCACTGCAGCAGCAGCCCCTGGAGCCGCCCATCACTGTTGCAGCCGCCCCTGGAGCGGCCCGCGCTTGCAGCAACCGCCCTAGGACCCCTGCAGCAGCCTGTGGCGCCGCCCCGGGGCCCGCGCGGGCCGCCCGTGCAGCAGCCCACGGCCCGCCCCTGCAGTTGCTCGTGATGCCGTCCCTGCACCCCATCCCCCCCCCCCCCCCCCCGTGCTGCCCATTCTCCCGTTCTGCCGTGTGTTCCGCGGTGGTTGGGGGGTGGGGTGGCGAGCATGGGGGTGAGAGGTGTGGGCTTTCCCCTTCCCTTTCCCCTCCTCCTCTTTCGTCTCCCACTGCTGCAGCTGCCGCTGCGGGGGGGTGGAGGTGTGGGAGCCGTGGGGAGTGGAGCTAGGGGGGTGATGTGGGAGTGGAGCTAGGGGTGAAACTGGGGGTGTGTGTAGGGGGGTGTGGGACAGTTGGGGGAGGTTGAGTGGAGGCAGCCGTCGTGTCGTCCGCAGCGCCTGTATTCCGGGGCCCTTGTCGCCGGTAGCTCAGAGAGCCTGCTGCACATGTTGCCCGTGGGTCCGTTGCTCCTGCCGCTCGTCGCAGCCGCAGAGCCTGTTACTCCTGTATTCCGGGGCCCTTGTCGCCGGTAGCTCAGAGAGCCTGCTGCACCAGTCGCCCGTGGGTCCGTTGCTTCTGCCGCTCGTCGTAGCCGCAGAGCCAGTTACTCCAGTAGTCCGGGGCCCTTGCCTCGGTAGCCACTGTGTCAGCCGCCACTGTGTCAGCCGCTTCTGTTGCCCGTGTGTCTGCAGCTTCAGTCGTCGCCTCCCATCTTCTCTCCTCTCACAGTCCCTCCTCCTCCTCACTTGCCCTCTGTGATAGCCTCTAGCTTTGCTGATAATTGTGAACTTCTGCTATGCCTGCTCATTGTGCTGATTTCACCCCACTTTGGCTATGGGGGTGTGTCAGAATATGTTGTTTGTGTAGCCTGCAGTGGGGTACTCAATAGTGAGTACAGCCCCTTAGGGTTTGCTACTTGTATCCTGCTGCTTGCTAGTTCAATCATTCCTTCTCAACTCTCTTCGTGCACACATTCCTAGCTAGTACTTGGCGCCTCCTTTCGTCGTCCTACTGTGGCCTAGGCTACTAAGCCTAGGCCGTACTCCTAGTATATTTGACAAACAAGCCAGGTTTCGTGAACCGCACGAAGCACATCGCGCTTCGGTACTTTTTCGTCAAGGACGAAATTGACCAGGGCAAGGTTGATCTCACGTACTGCCCTACCACCGAGATGGCAACCGACTTTCTCACCAAGCGACTACCACGTCAGCAGTACAAGCACTATTCCGACCTCACCGGAGTGGTCAAGCGAGTCAGCCCCCTGCGCGCCCAGGAATGAAGGGGAGTGTTACGATATGAAACTTTACGAGAAGGCATTCCTGTATGCTACAGGGACCGACTCTAAAGTGTATGAAGCCGAGGAGTCAGAAGAGTCGAAGCGACACTGGTAACCGTCTGATCAAGATCGATGCAGGCAGAAACATTCGAAGTGAAAAGAGCGGGAACAGGTTTGAAACGGGTTCCCGCGCCGCACGGTTTGAAATCGCTGTAATAAGGGAATGTACCCCTTAGAGTACATGGCTAGTCTAGGTCTTTTCGTATTCCCTTGTATTCTTATATAAACCCGATGTATGCATGCTATTATCAACTCAGTCATTTACATTCACTCTGACCTGAGATTCAATCTTCCGCTGCAACACTACCCTGCGATCAACCCTGAGCGATCCTTCGCTAAGTCCCACTTGGATTGTAACAGATAGGATCAGTGTTCAGAAATGACTTTATCTGAAAAAAAAACAGTTTTGGACAGTTCAGTTGTCTGAATTCTCAGAGTAATCGGAGTATTTACTCTGATGAAAACAGCCCTGATTGCGTGCTCTATATGAGCTAACGCGGTACTGGTACATGCGCTTGATTCGTTATAAATCGATGCGCTAAGGTGATACATTCATGAATGATTTAATAACCGTTCAGTTATTCCAACACGCTCCTTAGCCTCGGCTGTCCACCCTCGTTCTCTTCAATTGCATGCTTGATATTCACTAAATTTTGCTGAATTTAAGAAGGACGAGTCTAGGAGTGTATTTCGCCAGTACATGAACACGGTTTTCTCATCAGCCTGCACTGCCGCCCCCTTGAGAACTCCTTTCACAGGTCTTTCTCGGCTGGAGGAAATCCCAAGGCATTCTGGTACTTCCCGCCAAAACAGACTTCGTCAGTTTCAAGAGTACGTAACCACACTGTTGGCGCTGGCCTGTACCAACCAACCAGCTTTTCAGTCTTCTGCTGATTTGCCCTCCTTCCTTCCATATTGTGCTCATCGCAAGCTTGATTAGTATTCTTCGGGCGCGCCTTCACTCGGCGTCGTTTTTCGCGTAGCCTTGTGTTAGTATAACGTCCAGGCGCTATCTAACCTAGTTATTTCCAGGGTTTCGCAATGCCGTCGCAAAGTCGTCTTGTTCTGAGAGTACTGAGATTGCTCGGAGAGCGATGAAGCCGTGATACAATCTAGTCGTAGTTATTGGTCGTGCTAGGCGCTGCTAACCATTGTATGTTCATAAGATTGACGTGCTATTCAAGGCGCATTTTCCAGGCGGTTTCACCTGACTGTCTCATTAATCGGTGTCTAGACGCTCATACCGCGTCTTGTTGTCGCCCCGTCAGCTCTTTATCCCTTTTTTTATCTCCTACCGCGCGTAACCATCAAGAGATCCCGGGTCTGCAGTGGTTACATCGTGGTAATCGCCGTCTCCTGTAGACGCTATAACCGTCAATGGACCTTTTAGCGAGGATAGGGTTATTTTGACTAAGTACGCGTTACAAGTTCGCAACCGATAACTAGTACGCGCTATAGTACGCCGCGGTTTTCGACATGGCGACAGACCAGGGACTGCCGAGTCCCGGCATTCGACTATCAGACCCTGCCGCTCTTCTAACGCATATCGAGGTCCCCAACCAGGTAATGTTAATAAAACTCGCGGATTTCTCACTTTTAGATAAAGGATATTCATACAATAAACGTAACACGGATTAGAGAGGCTACTGTTCTTTTAACGCGTATCGAGGTCCCTGACCAGGTACCATGTCCGCAGTCATCCATTCCCTCGTGTCAGTGTCGTTGACGCTAATGTCAATCGTATCAATGTCCTTCCAGTACACTCACATCCCGGCTTGCTCTTGAGTACAATTCATGCCGTTTTCAGGATTCTTACCTCTGTCCGTCAGTTCTGCCTTTCCCGGTTTTCCCGGCCGTCATCTTTCTCCCCTTCACCGATACGCCCCGTACGGTCGCTCCAGGTGCGGGATGTCATAATGGACGGTCCGGATCGCAACAGCGACGCGTACTACACGTATTTGGACGCTGTGGATCGGCTGAACGGTGCAGTGCGGTTCATTGAGGAGGAGCTGCGCAATGGGCGGTACCTGATCGCGAGGGCCATGGAGAATGTGAAGGCGGACTTCCACGGGCTGCTTGCGGATAGCAGGTGGGGGAGGGGGTTGGGGGGAGGAGGGTGGGGGGTGGGGGGGCGGGGTGGGAGGGGGAAATGTCAAGGCGGACTTCCACGGGCTGCTCGCGGATAGCAGGTGTGCGGAGTGGTGGGGGGTGCGGATGAGGGGTGAGGAACGGTGGTCAGCGGTGGAGGGTGGTTGGTATGGGGACCTTCACAGACGGGCGGTACCTGATCGTGTGGGCCATGGGGAATGTGAAGGCGGACTTCCACGGGCTGCTTGCGGATAGCAGGTATGGTGGGTGGGGTTCGGGTGTGGCGGACGGCAGGTGGGGAAAGGCGGACTGGGGGTGTGGGGCGTGCGGGGCGAATAATGGCGGAGAGCAGGGGGGGGAGGCGGACAGCAAGAGGGGGAAGCGGACATCAGTGGGGAAGTGAACAGCAGATGGGGGGAGGAAACAGCAGGTGGGGGGAGGGAAACAGCAGGTGGGGGGAGGGAAACAGCAGGTGGGGGGAGGGAAACAGCAGGTGGGGGGAGGGAAACAGCAGGTGGGGGGAGGGAAGCAGCAGGTGGGGGGAGGGAAACAGCAGGTGGGGGGAGGGAAACAGCAGGTGGGGGGAGGAAACAGCAGGTGGGGGGAGGGAAACAGCAGGTGGGGGGAGGGAAACAGCAGGTGGGGGGAGGGGAACAGCAGGTGGGGGGAGGGGAACAGCAGGTCTACGTTGGCAAATACGCGTATCACGTATAATACGCTAGCGTATTATACGCTGGGTATATACGCGGTACGCAATGGCTGGCGTACTGCTGATACGCTAAAATACGCTGGGCGGGCAGGTGAAACGTTTTTCCTGGGCAGTAGAGCCGTGAACAGAGGCTGCATTGCTCGTCGAACTAGTAGGAGCTGCGCTCGACGCCATGGCGCGCGACTACGGAACGTCTAACTAACGGGGAAGAATGCTAGACGAGACCTGCGGGAAGTAGATTGAAGAGCATTATGGAAGTCGTCTACCTAAAAATGCTCACGAAGTGATGAACAATTGAAAGGGGTGGTTGGGTTTGAGAGGTTGGGTGGGGTGGTGTGTGGTTGAGTGGGTGGGAAAGTTTGGATTTTGACATTCGAAGTTCAGACGTGGGTAGGGTGCTTGAGCGAGTTCGCGGTAACAATTTGCGAAGCCGGAAAGTCGTCGCGATTTTTTTCAATTTCGGAATTTTTTTTCCGCGGGCTGCCCGGGCGTATTTCGCAAATTCAGAGCGTATTAGCGTACCACGTATCTGCCAGCCTTCCCAAAGCGTATCTGCCAACGTAGCAGCAGGTGGGGGGAGGGGAACAGCAGGTGGGGGGAGGGGAACAGCAGGTTAGGGCTAGCTTTGTGCGCTTGGCAGCTTTCAGAGCTTCCTATAGATGCTGGCATATAGGACGGGAGACCACGTATCAAGGTGACTGTTGAGTCGATTCAAAAGTAACCTAGGTTAGGGCTAGCTTTCCATCCTTCACACTTTGAGAACCTTCCAATTGATGCTGGCACATAGGATAGGACAGGAGGCTGCACATCCCATGTGCCTCTGCGTCTCTTTGCTTCCCTTGCCGTCAATCCCCCACCATTCCCTCGCCAAGCCTTTCTCCGAATCTTGACGCGTTTAACCCCCAGCCCATCCCATCACACCCGTCTGGTCTTTCTGGACCTGGACGAGACGAGCCCAGGGAAGGCGATGCTGTCAGTGTCAGCAGTGTTGCCTCATGAGTCTCTGCCACTTGGTTATATTCTATCTGTCGCTGCCACTTCTTCTCTGATCCTCTGTCCCCACCCACCCACTCCCCTCACCACCCCCCCTCCTCCCCCCACAGCCTCTTCCCGGACCTGGACGAGCTTCGGGAGGCGATGCTGTCCGAGGAGTCGCCGGACCAGATCACGCCCCCTGAGATGATTGCCGAGGCTGCGCTGCCGAAGCTGCACGCCATGGCTCGGCGGCTGGTGGAGAACAATTGTGCGACCGACTGCACTCGTGCTTACAAGTAGGCTCTTGGGTGTGTGTGCTGGGGGGATGGAAGGTGGGGAATGGTGGAGAAGAGGGTGGGGTAAGCAGGAGATGCACAAGGGAGAGAAGGATCGGATGTGTGGTGCGAGAGACTGCACTCGTGCTTACAAGTAGGCTCTGGGTGTGTGTGCTGGGGGGGAATTGGACCGGGGGTGGGGGTGGTGGGAACGGTGGAAAGGGTGGGGTGGCGGAGGTAGCAGGTGAGTGTTGGCAGGGGAGGGGAGGGAAACGAAGGATCTGCACACCATGGCTCGGCGGCTGGTGGAGTATGGGTGTGCATCTGGCTGCGCTCGCGCTTACAAGTAGGTTTTTGAGGCGCCTCAAAAGAAGTAGCAGGTGGGTGTTGGCAGGGGAGGGGAGGGAAACGATGGATGTGCACGCCATGGCTCGGTGGCTAGTGGAGAGCGGATGTGCAACCGACTGCACTCGCGTTTACAAGTAGGCTCCTGGGTGTGTGTGTTAGAGACTCAGGAGAGGGGGGAGGGGAGAATGGAAAGCGAGAGGAGGGGGAGAGGAAGGGGAGAGGAAGGGGAGAGTGGGAGTTGTCATTGTGCAAGCTCTTGATAGCTGTAGAAGTGGTTGTGTGGCTGGTAATGGCTGGCTTTCTAATGGCAGACAGAACCAAGGCGGGGATCCGCATCACAGCACCCCAATGGCTCCCCTCGCTTTCCCCCTTGGTTCCCGTGACCTGCAAACCAACAGGGAGAAACGAGAGGCCGCTTTTAAGAGGAGCTTCCAGTGGCTGGGCGTGCAGACGATGACCAAGGCGGAGATCCACAGCATCCGACCCCGTTCACCCCCATTCACCCCCCATGCACCCCCCATGCTTTCCCGTCTCATGGGATCATGGGCCTTGCCACGCGCGCAACAGTGCCAAAGCAGACGCGCGACCCTTGTGGGACCACACGCAAGATCTAGGCCACATGTGCGGTCCAGATTCTCGCGCTCATTCTTACCTTGACCAGCGCGAAATATCCCAACAGTAAAAACACTCGATTTCACCTCATGAACACAAAAGAAAAATCATGACATGAAACAGAAACTGTCATGAACGAACATGATCGTACATGATCGCTCATGAACGTACACGAACACCTTACGAGCAGTCATTGTAAGGATTTTTCCTTTATCCTTACCGGGGTTGACTGCTACGCGTACAACCCCGATTTTCGGACTTCGCACGTTCGGCCGACATCAACGATGCCGAGGCTCCTCCGCGTCGCCTTCGGCTTTCCGTCGCCAAACCTGCACCCAACCTCGTTTCCCGAGGTTCCCTCCTAGCTAGGGTATGCACTATATAGTCGCGTGCCTTCATTGTAATTGACAGTTCATTAAGTCACAGCTTCGTTATTCGTTATTCCGCGCACTCTCCATTACAACTCATAACACCTGGTATCAGAGCTACTTTCCTAGTTCACCCCGCTTTACGCGTGTTCTTAACCAAACAGGGAGAAGCGGGAGGCCGCACTAAGGAGGAACTTCCAGAGGCTGGGCGTGCAGACAATGACCAAGGCGGAGATCCACAGCACCCCGTGGCCGCAGCTGGAGGAGCGGATGAGGCGGTGGAGTGAACACATGCACATTGGGGTGAGTGACATGGTGACGGGCGGAGACAAAGAGAGTGAGCAGATTGGGGTGAGTGAGTGGTGTGGTGAGGGAAGGAGACAAGAAAGAGAATAGGAGACAAGGAGAGGATGAGACAGTGGTGGAGCTAACACACACAAGCACACAGATTCCGTAAGTGGTGGGGAGAGCGCATGCATACCAGTGATGGGGGAAAGAGAGGTATGTATTGGCCGTGAGCCATTTTTTAGGATTCTCAAGAATTGCTCACGACGTTTGTATTGGTGTGAGCCAGATGAATTAGATGTCCAGCGCCTCTTCTCCCTCTCTCATTCCCTCTCCCTCACCTCCCCCCTTCCCCCAAACCCTTCCTAATTCATCCTTTGCCCCTCCCCATTCCTCCTTCCTCCTTCCCTCTTCCACCTCCCCCCTTCCCCCCCACTCCCCCACCTCAAAAACTCAAACCACACACCCCTACCAGATGATTCTGGTGGCGGGGGAGAGGGAGGCGTGTGACGAGGTGTTTGACGGGCTGGACCCGTGCGGAGAGCAGTGCTTTGTGGACCTCAGCCGCTCCTCCATGCTGCTGCTCGCCGGCTTTGGCGAGGCCGTGAGCGAGATCAAGAAGACGCCCGAGCGCCTCTTCTCCTTCCTCGACATGTATGAGACGACGCTCGACCTCAAGTGCACGGTATGTGCTGAATGAACCAAGTCAACGCCAGTCAACGCCAGTCAATGTTGCTTCTGCTCCTTCATGCTCCTCCATGCTGCTGCTCGCCGGCTTTAGCGAGGCCGTGAGCGAGATCAAGAAGACGCCCGAGCGCCTCTTCTCGTTCCTCGACATGTACGAGACCACGCTCGACCTCAAGTGCACGGTACGCGCTGTGGTGACTCAAGTCAATGGTAGTCAAGTCAACGTTAGTCAATGGTGTTGCTTCCATGCACGAGATCAAGAAGACGCCCGAGCGCCTCTTTTCGTTCCTCGACATGTACGAGACCAAGCTCGACCTCAAGTGCACGGTACGCGCTGTGGTGACTCAAGTCAATGGTAGTCAAGTCAACGTTAGTCAATGGTGTTGCTTCCATGCACGAGATCAAGAAGACGCCCGAGCGCCTCTTCTCCTTCCTCGACATGTACGAGACGACACTCGACCTCAAGTGCACGGTGCGTTGAGGCATGCTCCCTTTTCAGTTACGCGGGGAGCAGTTCGGGGGCTGTGACCTGGAAAGGGAAGGTGAGGTAAGAAGACGCCCGAGCGCCTCTTCTCGTTCCTCGACATGTACGAGACCACGCTCGACCTCAAGTGCACGGTGCGTGCTGATTCAAGGCTACGCTAGTCAACGCCAGTCAACGGCAGAGCGACGTTTGAGAAGTTGCCCCTTCCATGCCCGTCTGCCCCACCATTGATCAACACCACACCCACAGGTGGACGAGCTATTCAAGGGGCCCGAGGGGGAGATGACGCGGCGGGGGTACCAGCACCTTCTCAAGACCCTCGGGCTCATCCCTGCCCCTCTGTCCCCTCCCTGTCACCCGCTAACGCAACTCTTGCAGGTGGACGAGCTATTCAAGGGACCTGAAGGGGAGATGATGCGGAGGGAGTATCAGCACCTGCTCAAGACCCTCGGGCAAGCAGCGAGGGCGACGTTTGAGAAGTTTGAAGAGGCGGTGAAGGCACCGCCAACGCCAGAGGAGGGCGGGCCGGGAGGAGGAGGGGGGTACCCGGCTCTTGCCAGCCCTACTGCCAGCGAGAGCGGGAGGGGAGGCGGGTTCGGGCGGAGTGAGCTGCGAGGCGGGGGGCTTCTGGGACGGCTGAAGAAGTGAGTGGGGGGTGGGTTGGGGAAAGTGTGGGTTGGGTTTCTTTGGGCACTGCAGGGACTGGGTAGGATCTCAGCGAGCTAGGTGGCATTGGTGACTCTCTTTTTCCCTTCCTCCTCGTCCATTCTCCCTCCTCCTCGCCCTTCTTCTCATTCTTCCGTTCCCCTCCTCTTCCTCCCTCGCCCTTCCCCTCCGCTTCCACCCTGTCAGGATGATGCACAAGGGTGACGACTCAGCGAGTGAGGTGGCGTCAATGAATCTCTCACCTTCCTCGCTCGTCCACCCTCCCTCCTCCTCGCCCTTCCCCTCTTTCTTCCATGCCCCCCCTTTTCATCCCGCGCCCTTTTACCCGCAACCCTGCCAGGATGATGTACAAGGGCGATGACTCAGTTAGTGATGTCGCCCTTCCCTCCCCCCATTTCTTCCTCCGTCAACCCCCTCTACCCTGCCGCCCGTCGTCCTCGCCCCTTCCCTTCAACTCTGCCAGGATGATGCAAAAGGGCGATGACTCAGCGAGTGAGGTGGCGTCAATGACATCCACGTCAGCAGCAGCCGCCCACTCCACAGGAGACATTCATCCAATCACGAGCTACGTGGTCAACTACCTGCTGCTGCTCTGCAACAGGTGGGGATGGGTGCAGAGAGGTGAAGTGGGGTGGGGTGGTGGTAGTAAGTGGTTCAGTTCACTCCACAGAGGACATTCATCCAATCACGAGCTACGTCGTTAACTACCTGCTGCTGCTCTGCAACAGGTGGGGATGGGTGCAGAGAGGTGGAGTGGGGTGGGGTGGTGGTAGTAAGTGGTTCAGTTCACTCCACAGAGGACATTCATCCAATCACGAGCTACGTCGTTAACTACCTGCTGCTTCTCTGCAACAGGTGGGGATGGGTGCAGAGAGGTGGAGTGGGGTTGGGTGGTGGTAGTAAGTGGTTCAGTTCACTCCACAGAGGACATTCATCCAATCACGAGCTACGTCGTTAACTACCTGCTGCTGCTCTGCAACAGGTGGGGATGGGTGCAGAGAGGTGGAGTGGGGTGGGGTGGTGGTAGTAAGTGGTTCAGTTCACTCCACAGAGGACATTCATCCAATCACGAGCTACGTCGTTAACTACCTGCTGCTGCTCTGCAACAGGTGGGCGTGGGTGCAAAGAGGTGAAGAGGGTTGGGGGTGGTGGTAGTAAGTGGTCCAGTTCACTCGACAGGGGACATTCACCCAATTTGATCGGGCCAATCACGAGCTACATGGTCAACTACCTGCTGCTTCTCAACTCCCTTTCACCCTGTCTCCCACTTTCCACGTGTTTGATTCCCCTCCTACATTCCCTCCCTCCCCACACACAGCGAGCCCTATTCCAAATACTCGAGCGCGTCTTTTAGGACATGGTCAGCAACGCCAGCGGCGACTCAGCACAGCACAGCACGCATCTGGTGCTCCTTGTTGACTTTTGAGTCGACTCAAAAGGCGACTCAGCACAGCACACATCTGGTGCTCCTTGTTGACT